ACTATTGATTTGCAAGTAAAAATTATTTTTTCACTGAATTAGATCCCGTTGATCCGGTAGAATTACTATTAATTCTCACAGTCTTAGTCTCAGTTCCAATCTCAGTCTCCGGTAAAGAAGGACCACGTCCAAAGTAGAGGCCCCAGTGTGTCATGCCAAGTGGGTGCATTGGAAGCCTAATCAATTTAATTACTTGTGTTGTGTATGAAAAACAAAAGAGGAGGCTGCCAGCCAGCCATACGAGAAAAAGAAACGAAAGACTTTTACTTGTCTGTGCGTGGCTGTTGCTTTCAGAATCATATCTACTTGTTGTAATAGTTTGTGGATAATTAAGGAACCCATCGACAGAAAATTGGTTAATTACTAGCGTGGAAATATCTAATTTGGCCATAATAATAATATCAGGGTTTGAAAAATAAATATAATTATACGCGTTGGCAGCCGATTCTAGATTAGTTGAACTTGAATATAATACTTGTCAATGAGATTGACACAAGGGAGAGGAAAGGAAAACTATATTAAAGAAGGTGATAGACTTGGAAAGCTTCAAATGCTTGACCCAAAACTTGGACTTTCTCTTCTCTCTGGTCATCTTGCTCGTCTTTTTTTTCTAAATCCTGAGGTTTTACATTTATGAGATAATTAACGAAAATTAAGAAAGTTCAATGTGGGGTGAGGCTAATTAATAGCCCAAGATTCCATGATTTATTCTACACCACCCGATTTTCTGTTTGAATTTTCTCTGTTATGATATATTGACTTGTTTTTTTCCACATGTCATCTCAATTATATTTCATCTAACGACTTCAAAAATAGCGCCTCCTACGCAAAATAAATGAAAAGTAATACAATTAAGCTTCTTTTTAATTTCAACATGGGTTGCATTGCATCCTCAGCAGAATCACCTATAACAAAAGATAATCTACTGCTTCATCATGATTTGGTAAAAATAGGTGATCCAATGCTTACTTAAATAGCAACCAAAAAGGAGAAGATAAAAACTGATTGCAGTTAGCTACTAGCCTAACCTAACAAAAATGAAGTACCAAATCTTGTAGATTGAAGCCTGCTACCAGCAATTTGTGGGGATCTCAAATCAAAGTCGGGCAGAAGCAAAACTAACTGTGAGAATAACTTGGGTTTGCAAACAAAATCAATGAAGAGATGAATTAGATGAGCATACAGAAAAAAGGAAAGATGAATGGTTACTTACCACCAACCTAGCTATATAAAACATGATGCAAAAGCTTTGACACAATTTGTCTCTCTTTCTAGTTCGTCTACAACAGTGTACATGATTAATTTATTTTCATAGAGAGAGGTTGGATGATTTGCCACCCAACTAATTCCTAATTATATGATTAAGATACTAATATGTGTATTGTGCTTATGAAGTTTCTAACCTAAATCCTCGCGGGAACTCAACAAAATCAAAGTAATTAATTTACTAATTTGGTGTTAGCCCGGGGTTTGCTAGGTATACCTACTAATTAAGTAATTGAATTAATTGGCCCCATCCCCTGATGATCAGCAGGGTTTTCCACTGTTTCACTTGTATCCACAACCTGGTTAATAAATATGAGAAGATAACTTTGATTGGGAAATTCTAGATATGATTCCAATAAAGAGACGTGCAACAACTTCAACTACCCATTTGAGAATCTTAATCTTTAATTTGGATGTGCACAGTGCATGCATATTGTAAACCTCCTGCCATCTTTTGTTCTTACATATACTCATCTGGATGTTTGTGCGATAATAATGTTTAGATGTCATTGTAAAGAAAGAGGAAAACATATAGGAATAGTAGAAAATACAATGCGTCGGCACGATAATAAAGAAAGAGGAAAACATATAGAAATAGTAGAAAATACAATGCGTCGGCACGATAATAATGTCCAAACTTCAACATAGGAGAATTTCTGAACTAACAAATGGATGGTAATTGCTAGCTGCCAAAATATCAAAATCAGTTTACAAGATGTAATTGTGTTGTTTTTTAGCTTTATTCTCTTCCTTTTTTCTGATTTTTTTTTTTTTTTTTTAACATTTCTTCTATACTCAATAATCCGCCTATAGAAGATAATATATTTAAATGAAAGATAAAGAAAAAGAAGAAAGTGAAAAAGACGAAAGAAAACGAAGACCAAATGAATAGTACTTTTCATTGGTAGTGTCTTTTCCTTTGGAGCCAAGAAAGCAGATTAATGTGATTTAGATGAAAAAGAAAAAGTTTATAAAGAACATGTCTTGTATTCTATAAATATAATTTTAGGAAGTATTTTCTGATGTGGACAAGCAAATTTAAAAAAAGAAAAAGAAAAAAAAAAGAAATAGATGGTAATTATATAGCAATTAGTAACTAATAGAAGTCTAGCATGCCTAAGAGTATCTCCAACCGATGTGTCAAACGTGCCACATAAACATTTAACAGCTAGAAATAACATTTCACATCACTCCAACCGATGTGTCAAAGCTGATGTGAAATGAAAGTTGGAGGTTGAGATGTTATTTTTGACATCCGAAAGCAAGATGTCAAATGAATATATATTTTTTTCTTTTTAATTAAAAATGAATCAACATTAAAATGTAATAAAATAATAATTTAATTTGACATATCGAGTGGAATGTAAAGCTGTATAAAATGTCAAATTGACACATCAGCCATCAAATTTAAATTTAATGTTTGATATTTGACATATCCCTTAGAGATGCTCTAAAACGTTTTCCCATTTGCATTATTTTGATTCCCATTTTTGTCATATATTTTGGGTTGAGACGGTTCTATTCCATTATGTCGACATATTGACACGACTTTGTCAAACATCGCACTTGGGCGCTCACACCTTTATTAGATTAGAAGCATTATATGAGCTACGTGTACTTTTCTTTTATATATTTATTTTTTATGTTTGCAAATATAAAATAGAATTGAGAATCTTCTAAACTGGATTATTTAGTAGGCAAGCGTAGTAAAAAAAGAGTACTAATTTGTAGACTATAAGTTTTAAATTTGAATCCAAATAACATCATATTGAATCCAAATAACATCATAGTTATATGTATATGTGAAATTCTTGTCATATGTAATTATATCACTTATGCTCAAAACAAAAAGGATCAATAATGAAATTTTAATTTAAAATTTAATTAATTAAATAACGAAACACATATGTGAAACGGGAATATCATCATTAATGCGTGTCGGAGTGGTTTGGGTGTAAGCATATTAGCAAACACCGCACCCGTTTTGACGATTTGTGAGGACAAGAGAATTGTTGGCAAGTGGAACAATTCTGAGAGAAGCACGTGTCCCCCACCTCGATGCAAGTGTGCCACATACACCCTCCCTTACTTTTGCAATTGCATGGATGGTCATCTAAAATAAAAGACATCACATGGACGGTCATCTAAAATAAAAGTCTGGTAGATCTGGAACACATTAAAAAAAGAATATGGATTCCGTTCCTGTTATAAATTTTGTTTCAAGAAGAATAAACCTAATTGGTAAAATAGAAATGCATGCTACCTTCTTAATGTTGAAGCATCATATTTTTATGTGTAAACTCAATCCCATTCATTGGACAAAGGATTACAATCCTTGCGAAAAGAATTTATTGGTGTAGTGGTTTGAAGCACAGTACGAAAATAAGGGATACATTTTCTGTTTGTCAGCTCGCAATATAATCAACTCAAATCACTCAAACTCACTATATAATGCATTTCCTTTCAATTTTTTTGTGTCAAAATAATAGATGATTGACTAAATAAAATTCTTCTAAAGTTTCATTAAAAAATTTCATGTATTTATCACAATTTTCGTGGTTTTTATCTAATTTTTATCTATATCGATATTTTTCCGATATTTTCATCGATATTTCCATATTTTTGAACAACCGATATTTCCGAAACTATCGATATTTAAGATCTTGGTTTGAAGCAATCTTTAATTTGACAAAAAATTACAATCATTATGCAAATGACTTAGTGGTGTAGTGGTTTAGGGCAATTGTTCTCCCAAAAGAAGTTTTAAATTCGAATCATAGTATCCATATAGTGTGTATGTAAGTTTAATATATTATCGAATCTCTTAATAGAAAAGATATTTATATTAAAAAAAAAAAAAAAAGAGATTACAACCATCAAATACATATCATTAAAGAAATAATGTTTGTTATTTACAGACCCTTACCTAATATATCCCTCGAGTGAAAACAACTAATCTCCTCCTCCTCCTCCGTATTAGACAAAACTAATTAAATATCGCATAATTTATATTTAAAACGAAATTAACAAAACAAGGGGCTGAGGAGAGAGAGTAAAGTCGGTAGCGTTTTACAGCGTACGTACGTGGAATTTAAGAGGCGATTGTGTGTGTGCGCGTGTCAAAACGGAAGTACGTGGGAGAATGGTCGCTTGACTACTCTGAAACGCTGTCAGATAAAACAGTCTGCTTTTTTTAATTAATTATTTAATTTAATTTAATTTAATTGCTCTTCTGCGTGACTTCGTCTCTGCGGGCTGCACTGCCCATAGCTTGGCGTCGAAACCGTTGGTGCCCAAACTGCAAAATCTTAAACTCGCCCCTAGTTTACTATACTCTCTAACCAAACCCCCAACTGTTGCTCTGGTTAGGTTAAATGTTGCTTAGATGCCCATAACTTTTCCATAATTAGTTTTTCTGTAATTACAATTAGGCAGGTACTTTGTATTTTTTTTTATCTCAACCTTTTAAGCCACAAATTTCTTCAATTAATTTAATCATATCCAAATTCATCTCTCATATGATTAATTATTCTCCCAAAAAAAAAAAAACAGTACAAATACTGTCGACTACTCTCTTTCCAATTATAATTAGGGAAGGCATTGGAGTAGAAATCCTAGCTTTTATGGTAAAAGCACAATTTAATTGCAATAAATAATACGCGTGGCAGTCGTAGTACCCACAACATAAATAAGCAAAAAACTAGGGGTACGAAAGAAAACCGAATAAATAAATATCGCGGGACCTGAGCCATTTTCTCCTTCCCTCGTTCACTATAAATACATAGCTCGAGTGAAGCTAGGTTTGCCGAATTGGGCAGCGAAACGCAGCTTACACAAAAAGAAAAGGAAAAAAACCCTTCCCTCTCTTTCTCTCTCTTTCAGTCTCCAATCTTGTCTCTCTAAAATCTCAACCCGATCAACAAACATGGCAGCAGCAAGTTCTAGAAGATCATCATGCGGCCCAGTCATCCGCTCCGCTTCACCCGCTGGAAGATTCCACAACACTCAGTATTCGTCCTCCTCAGCCTTCGCCTCCTCCACTTCCAGCTTCTCTTCCCGCTCCTCCACTTTCTTCCAGCGCCCCACCTCTCCCACGCGCCTCAACCTCGCCAGGTCCTCATCCTCCGCCCAGTCCGTACGCTTCTCCCTCGACCGCCCCATCTCCCCAAGCCGCTCCATCTCCGTCACTCCACATGGCAACGGCAACCATCACAACGCCGTGAAGAGCCGTCAGATCAGCAACCAGAAGCGCACCTGTATGTGTTCCCCTACGAATCACCCCGGTTCGTTCCGTTGCAGCCTCCACAAGAACTTCAGCTCCCACGTGACCGCTTCGGCGCCCTACTCGCAGAACCGCCTCAACGCTCGGAGATCGGCGATGACGAACTCGCTCGTGAGAATCGGCGGCGTCGAAGGCGATCTGGTGCGGCGCGCTTTGTCGGCTCTGATTCGCCCCTCTTCCCACAGCCAAAGGAGAAGAGCCGATTTCCGGCCCAGGCCCAGCCGGCTCTCCACCATGTCCAAGTCACACGAGTAATTGGAAAAATTAATTTTGAAATTAAAATCGAAACTTGAGTCCTTTAGATCCTGAGCTTTTGTTGCACATCCTTTGAGATCTTCCGGCGAGGTGAGGCCGCGGTCGGCGGCGATGAAGGGTCAGGATCCGGCGAAAGTGTGAGTGATCTGACCGATTGGTGACCGAAGTGCTACAGCTAGGGGAATATGATGATATGAATCGATACGATACCTAGCTATGATTCTGTATATATAAATACGCATATATTTGTATGAGTGGCGCGCCTTTGTTGGCTGCTCCAAGCTTTCTGGGACCTTATTAAACTTCCATATAAGCATAAATTTAGCAGGCAAAATTAAAATCGAAGCAAGCAGATTTCATTACTTGGCTTGGGTTTGGCAATTGGCACTACTAGTTAGTTGAGCCCATTTCTTCAACTTCTCCGGGTTGGTTTTCCGTTAGCCATTCAATCAGCAGCGTGTGCGTTCTCCGTTAGTTTTGACGTGTTCCGTTATCCGTTTTGCCGTGACGGTAGGCGTATACGTATCATCATGCGTCTTGTCTGCTATATTGTGGGTTGACCGTATGTTCCTTCCGTTTACCCCGTACCAGGTCCTGGATTCATAGGGCTTTCGGAGGGAGGTTGGTTTGTTATGAATTAATTGTTTCGTTTTTCATTCTTTTATTAATTGTTGTTTTAATTTTCTTTTTGTTTCAGGTATGTAAATCTCCGTGGAATTCGCACGGATTGGATTGGACTGCAATTTATTTGAGAAATTGGGGCTGGAAAATGCTAATTGGATGAGCTTTGGAGGGAAGGATAATTGGACTAAAACGAATCTAATGAATGCTCTTTTTAAAATTAATGAACAGTACAATTAACTTAAATTAGAAAAGAAAAAAAGAATAAAGTTGGGGATTTGTTCATGATGATGATCAGCTGGTGCCGGGCACCTGAGGGTAGCATATGATGTGAAGCAAAAAAGCAACAGAAGTTTAAAAATTGCTAAATGAATTATGGACGATGACGATGAACCAGTCCCTCTTCTTTTCCTTTTAAAGATGCCAAAATGATTATTGATCAGCACACATTTTTTAGAATTGTTTGGAATCAAATAAATTTTGATTCTTCTTCTTTTTTCTCTTTCTTTTGTTCTTTGGGAATATTAAAAAGTGACTGATGACGGAATTAATAATTATGGGGAAGTCGATGTGACCTAGACAAGTTGGGTTGCAATTGGATTTTAATTAAAAGCAACATTTGCCAAAAATGAGGGGGCCCATAGCCTAAAGGAGTACAGCTGCTTAAAATTCAAGTTCAACTGTATGTGTATTATCGCATTCATCCATCTTCATCCAATTCAATAACAAAAGAAAAAAAGGAACTTGGCGGTCCCCATCCGGAGAAAAACTTTTATGGGATGACATTACTATTTTTTTTAAAAATAATTCTCGGTCAATTACACATGTTATTGTGTTAGCAAAATAATGTTATTTTCATTTTTATTCTCGGTCAATGATACATGTTATTGTGTTAGCAAAATAATGTTATTTCCGTTTGGTTTTTGTGTAGGTGGAAGATAAGGTTTTGAAAAAGAAGCCAGGCATAAGTAGTCATGGGCATGGGTGCGCAGGGAAGGAAAAGGAAGGGATTGATTTGACATAGCTAGGGGAGCTGGTGTTTATGTATTTTGTTTGGCCAGTGTCTTTTAGTGCTGAGACGAACGTTAAAACTTGGTTTATCCTTTTAGCAAAATGGAAATGAATTTAGCGTAAATTATATAAGCAGCATTCAGTCACATCACATCCACAAGTAAAAGGGGCCACAAAAGCGCGGGGAAATTGGGCATGGATTGGAATGGGGAGGAGCCTTTGTAAATTGTATTTTAGTTTTGCTAGTTGTGTTATTTTATATAGCACTGCACCTGCATGTGTGTAATTAGGTACTTGTAGCACACTAGACATTACGTGTCAGCAATGCAGAGCAAAATGAATTGATGGAGAGATCGACGGGGAAAGAAATTATGAGTCTCACGTTCTAGTTTCCCATCGAAGGATCGACGGGGGAAGAAAGCCAAGTTGGAATGTATTGTATGTGCAATGTGCAATGTGCAATGTGCAATGTGCAATGTGCTAGTGCTAGTGCATGCAACTCGGAACCAAATTGGAAGAGGAAGTGGGTGGGGCCCAGGAGTATTGTTCGGGTTCGGGTAATGACAAAGCCCACCACGCCAGCGCCATGGTGCATGTACCATCCACGTGGGGGTGTTGGAGGGTGACGATGGATCATGGATGGTGATCCTATTCCTTTCTGTTTGTTACATTTGTTTGTTTGTTTGTTATGTTTGGTCTGCAAAATTCAAAAGTGGTAGGCGTAAGGGGGGATAAGGATAAGGGCCACAAGGCCACATATCACATCACAGATTCACACAGCCCCGTGCCCACCCAATATATTACGCAAAATATTTTTGGGTTTTATCAACTTTTGTAGCATAGGACTTGCAGTTGAGTTATTTAGCAGCTAGCCTTTTGGGATTGTAATTGTAGCATAGATTTAGAATGTAGAAAACCCTTTATTAATCTTCTGTGTTCGTTTCTTGGTAACTTGGTTTGGTACGTGTATGTATATTCTTGAGAGAGAGAGAGAGAGAGAGAACATGTTGCTCTCGCCCGCGCGCAAGAAGAGGATGAGGATCCTGTTGGTAATATATATATTCACAACAGAAACAGCTGTATTACTTCCTTGTATTTGATTTATACTAGTGGGGTGGGGCCTCTGCCTCTGCCTCTGCGTCTGCGCAAATATCTTTGGTTATCGTAACGTTATTTTCTTGAAAGGTAAGTTTGGACCCCAATAACGAAGAAGATATTTAACTGGATAAGCTTGATGACATGACACCATGCCCATTCACTATTCACTTCAGTACTGGGGCTTGTCTAGACTTGGACTCGCTTGTGCCAACTTTTTATCTCATATTTGTTTTATTTGGTACTAATTTTAAGTGGGATTACTAGTACTGGTTCCACCAAAAACACCTCCTTAGGTTAGGTGGTGTTAGTGAAGTCCGTGTAGAAAGAGGGGAGACAAATAGTCCCTCGTTACGTCGAGCGCTGCAACCGCTCCAAACCTCCCACCATTGCAGCCAGAACAAAAATAACTAGCAGAAAGAAGATGCATCTCATATTCTTGTATGTCTACCATCATGTTTCTTCATCAAATTTCTGGGAAATTTTAAAAAGAAAAGAAGACAAGATTCTGGGTTTTAATAAAGATGAAAGCTGACGGAATTAATTGAAATATATTACTTTTAGGAAGGTGTAGAGACGGGATGTACTCCAACGAAATGCTATTGATTTTAGGAGGACGGGCAGACCCACTCATGATCTACTAAAAGGTTGATTGATTACAGTAGAGTCTAATCCGTGAGATGTTAGTGATCTTGTAGGCAAAGGTAGGAGGGAGGGGTGAAGAGGCAACAACATCCGAGCAACGAATTGGAGAGATATATGGGTATCTGAGTTTAACGTGAATTTCATTTGTGTTTGAGTCTGATTCGTGCTTTTCGTTTGCACAATCAGAAACTTCTCAATGACCTTGTGCTTATCATTTGTCTCTTTCCATTTGTTTGCTCATTACTGCTTAAACTTTAAAAGAATTTCCACAACACATTGGTGATTTCATCTTCAAAGCTTTTGGTGGAAATGTTGCAGGTCTCAAAGAGCAACTCCCCCGGTGACCAAAAATGTAATTACCCCTATAAAGCAAGAAAGAAACAAGACTTGGATTGGATGGAGCAGACCTAAATTCCATGGACAATCAAAATGCAGCTGGATCGCATTATAACATGTGGTGTGGGGGATTCATTTTCATTCATTCGAGTGCTTCCTTTATATTGATGAGTTCATGAATCATGATGAGGCCACAGCCTCACCCACCTCCTTTTAACTGCAGCTGGGCCTTTTCTTAACGGGCTCAAATAGAGACAGAGGGAGAGAGAGAGATGAAGCCTTTCCTAAAACGGCGTTACCCATTGGCAGCGACCAAACCAGAAAGAAGCCCATTCCCCCCATAATATGTTGGCTTTCCAGAAAAAGGGAAATGTTAGTGTACAACAAGTATAATAAAGGAAAGGAGGACGGCACGTAAATTAATTGCTATTTGGAAGTGGGAAGTTCAAAATTTGCTGTGAGTGTTGGCCAAGTGAGTGAGCCCTCTTTCTGCTCTTCTCTTGTCAGTCACACCTTCTTCTCTGGAGGGAAAAAAAGGGATCCTCTGTCTGTCTGCCTGCCATATCAAGGAATCATATAAATAAAGGCAACGTGGGCTCAAATTCAAAGAATATGCTCTCTCTCTCTCTCTCTCTCTCTCTCTCTCTCTCTCGCTGCATTCTTTCTTCTTTAATTAATTTGGAAGGAAAGAACTTGGAACTTGGAACTTGGAAGCAGGCAGAAGAACCAGACAGACTGATGATCCATGGGCCACCCACACTAGTACTTGTGGGCTACATGCATGACAGATAATCATCATATGCTATGCACTAGTTTCTTTTTTAATAACTGAAACTTTTGTAACAATCACACTCTCCCAATATAACAAGTCCAATGGCCCATCCTCCCTTTTTATTTTTTAATTTATAAA